CCTTTCCCCCACTTTCAACGTCACTAAGATCCTGAAGAAGATGGCGATGTATATTTACAAATACAACCTCCCCCCACCCCTCACCCCCCAACAAATAATTGCATGAGATTGAAAGAGTTTTTATCTGCACGTAATGTACTTTTGAACTGCTGGACGTCAAAATGTGTGAATTTTACGTGCATAAGCAGAGAGAACCTTTTTCATTGTAGTTTTCTCAGAGCAGAATAGTTTTTTAAAGAACGAAATAAAGGTTACCATGTAGATTCTAGTTCGTTGCAGACAGAACCCACATCAAACCTTGACTTGAAATATCCACAAAACGGAGACTGAAGTCTGTTAACATGCGTCTGTAGTGTTGCACGCAGGAGACCCGAGCTCGGTTCCCGAGTGGAAAGAAATTTTTATCGAGTATCTCGTTTTGTTTTCTGCAAGAATGTGGTATCCCACTCAGTCCAGGTTTACCCTGACTGACAGAGTCGGAAGCCCACCTCCTAAATGATACAAATTGGATCGATTGGGGCGTAAAACATCTTCATTAAAATGATATGTTCAAAAAAAAGTGTCCGGTTTTTGCATGATGGTTCAAAATGGACTACAAAAATGGGGCTTTCGTTTTCTAGAGGTACGGTGTTCGCCTCTCGTTCAATAGGTCCTGGATTTGAAACCTGACAGCGATGGAAAATGTTCTTCTCTAAAATTGTCTCCTTTCACCTCCTCTCCTGATTTCACATCATGTTCTGTCATCTTCTTTCATCTCCACTTTCTGCCCTCCCCCCCCCCCCCCCAACCCCTCCCTCTGGGCCTCTGACTTTTTCTACTTCTACTCCTGACTCTTCCTTACTGCTGTCTTTCAGCCCCAAACCTGAGCTTAGATTAGGTAAGATCAAACACCTAGCCTTCTCGGATGAGGACGAAAAAAATCTCGGAGGTCCCGTGTGCAAGTTGCGCATCTTAAAGATCCATTGGTAGTCCTAAAAATCGATTAGAGTAGGCTTCGACCTCCACCCGGGCAAAATTCAAAATTAATTCCTACCAAACCGAAAATGCGTAACGTGTCCTGCTCATTTATATGACATAAAGCAGTTGCAATGGCCGTAAAACAATTCTCGAAAATTTAAAATATAATTAATAAAGACTACAACATTGCCTTTGGTCAGCTGCTAATCAGGTCTATGTGTCCACTTCGCGCTATCCTCTTCACTGCTGTGTAGAAGTATGCACTCACTTGTGTTCTCCCCAAACTGGTTCACTGCCAATTGGTTTAGAGTTGACAGATTTGAAGATGTATTTGTGAAGTTTCTTATTCTTAATGGGAAGTATACATAATATTCTTGATGATCATTTTGTCCTGTGTGTACAAAGGTACATACATGTGTATTTGGAAACGCCTCAGCTGTGAAAGGGTTAAAGAGTTCATTTCATGCGACGACGTGTGATTAACACTCTATCCCCTCCGCCCTCCACCATCCACAGGCCCTGAAGGAGATGGTGATGCACATGGGCAGATATAGCAGTCTGTACGAGTCGCCGCCCCTGAACATGGAGCCACAACACACAGATGAAGTCAAACTGGCCATGAGGCCGGCTAACAAGTAATATATTTTTTGTAGATATATATATATATATATATATATATTATGTGTGTTTGTGTGTATGTGCGTGTGTGTGTATGTGTGTGTATGTGTGTGTTTGTGTGTATGTGTGTGAGTTTTTATGTAAGTGTGCGTATGTCAGGTTGCGTATTATGTGTGTATTGGAAGGGGGGGGTGGGGTATATAGTTTACTCTGCCAACAACAATAGGAGGTGCAACATTCATCTGATTCTTTAGGGAGGGGGGGGGGGGCTCTAGAAAACATGTACCCCAGAAACTCTCTGATATAAGGGCCGTTTCTCCCAGACTTTGTATATGTTTTCTCTCCAAGTCTATGTTTTACGGACTCGGGAGCGGAAGGTAGAGCTGATTTATTAAGGGGGGGGGGTTACACCTGAAGGCTAACTCGCCTATTACTGTACCATTTGTTACCAAATTTCACACATATAACAAGCATAGTAAGGAATCTTAAAAACCGCAGTCAAATTTTAGAAAATGTTTCGTTTCCATGGATACCGCGGCCATATTGGATTTTGTTGACATGTCTTACGTAATGAATACCGCACTTACTGCTCATGGAATTTGATTGCTTTTTTTGCATGCGTGTTAACAAACATTAGATCTAAAAATTTGTCTGTTGTTTTTTTCCTAAACGAATTTTTTTTAAATTTATGAATTTTTTTCTGAGGTACCATTCAAGTTTGAAAAAAATCCGTGAAAATTCACACTCAAGACACCACCAACAAAAAACTATTCCAAATATCAAAAATTCAACAGACAAATGGTGAAAATTTCATGAAGATTGGATGAAAAATGGTGGAGTTATTCAAAAAAGTATAGAGAAAAGTCGTGTTTTGAGAAAACGGCCGGTAAAGAAAAAGAAAATATGGACTTTATGAGGAAATGGTGGTGATAAACATGCCCGGTATGGGGAAAAATACGGTTTTTGGGGGTACTTATGCGATGAAATAGTTGTAGGAGAGGCTGAGGAAGCTAAAA